TCTGTGCAACGGAATACAAAACACCCTGCAGAGCGAGCGCTAACGTCCGTTACTGAAAAAGTCACTTACCTAGGTTCTCCATGCTCTGTGTGAGCAGGGCTTCGAACGTGTGCAGACTATAACTTTCCGCGTCCATGCCCTTGGCTAAGGTATTCCTCAGATGCATCTCGTATTCGAGCAGCAGGCGGCTGGTGGGCGAGCCCGGCGTCGGCGTCGACGTCGAGTTGTGGTAATGCGACGGCTGGTCCAGGTCCGAGTTGCCGTTACTCGAGCTGGGGGTCGTGGCGTAGCATTGGTTGTCGAAGAGGACGTTGTCGGAGGGCGGTGATAAGTCACCGCCTCCGCCTCCATTCCTCTCCAGCTCCAGGTACAGGCCGCGTCCTCCAGGATATCCGCCTCCGCCGCGTCCGATCTCGTGCGAGGACCTCGAGCCGGAGAATCTTCCTCCCGAGATCTTGTGGTGGTGATTCGACTCCGGCTCCGACAGCACGTGGCGGCCGTTGTTATTGCCGCCGTGATGGCTGTTGTAATAGTTGCACCTCCGACGGGTCATTTCCGGGGAAGTGACGGGGCTTTCCGCCGACGTCATCGGCTTCAGCATCCTCTTCAGCGTGTCCGAGTCCAGGCTGATGTTCCCTTCGCCTCGACCTCCGACGTTCATGTCATCCGCGCTCTTACTCTTGGCTCTCCTGTTGTTGTTGTTATTATTATTATTATTGTTGTTGTTGTTGTCGTTGTTGTTGTTGTTGACGTTGAGGTGGTGGGCCGCGCGGAGCTCGGCTTCTCGTACCATGTCCATGTCGGGGTAGTCTATAGACTTGGAGGCGGTCAGGATGTGGTGTTGTTCCTTCTTCTTGCTGCCTTGCAAGGTGCCACCAGCTTGAGTGCCCTCGCTCTTCGACGCCTCGTGAGTTTCCTGGCCAACCTGCGAGCCCACGTGGTTCTGAGTGCCGACGGACGTCTTCCCGGAAGACGTCGTGGCGGCAGAAGAGGGCGTCGTCTGAGCGATGTCCTGGTTCTGCTGTTGGGTTCCGCGGTCTCTAGTCTGACGCGCGGCGTCCGTACCGCGTTGCTGCTGGGGCGTCGGCTTCCCTCCGCTGCCCACGTTATCGTACAGAGACGTGCTCGACGTCGCCGAAGTCACTTTGTCCCCGCGGGCGCTGGGATCCGTCTCCGTCGCTCGCGTCTGAGCGCGGGGGAGCGTCGCGGAACCTGCGACACCGGCAACTGTACCTACGCCCCTACTGTCCTTTACACATTGTGAAACAAAAGACATGCGGCATGCGGCAAAGAGAGGTCAGAGGTTAAGAACGCCGAGAAGGTTTCTGCCAAAGTTGTAGGGCCAATCGAACATTTTCCGATCAGAAGCTGGACAGTTGCAGAGACACTCTCGAGATAATCTTAAAGCTGTCATCTGGGATCTTGCGTCTTGTAACATTTTCAGACCTGCTGCCTTCATCCTCGGCTGACAGAAGACTCACGTTGCTTCGTCGTATTTCGCAGTGGCAAAGCGAGCGTGGAATTCTGAAGCCGCGCTGAGGAGGACACAGAATCCCAAGAAGGACACTTTCAAAAGCCAAGAGTAATTTCATTTTCCGTGCTTAATGGTTTAGTTGTTAATAAAAAACTCTTTTTTATTAACATTTTCCTTCTCTGTAACTGTTCAACTTCGAACTTGGTTATGTTTGATTCATCCTAGCAAAATTCCCTACGAGTTTTACAGGAACCTCCCGGTGAACTATGTATATACAGTTGAGAGATCCTGAGGAATTTTTCCCCTCAACATACTCGTATTAGCGACAGAGCTCTGAGGAAAATGATTTGGGATCTGTAAAAAATACTGCAATTCTGAGTCATTCAGACTAACGCGAGAAAACCAGAGGCTTTTAGACTGCAGTGCCTGAATTGTAATGAACAAACGACAGGAATTAGGAAAATACAGTAAAGAATATTACTATAAAAGGTTGTTACCCTACACTTCCATGCAAAAATCCCTTCAACATTACGTAAATCAAAACGTAGCTCATATGTCAAAATCCACGTAAAATATTTTAAAGTCTTCTATTAGTATCCTAAACGCTAATTCAGATCCCTGATCCTTCTAATCAAAAAAAAAATTCAGATAATGGATAATATGAAACTCCTTCAGTATCTGAACTTCAATATTTACTGCAACTCCCATATCTTACGAATAAAAATTAGAATAAATTAAAATACATTAACTTTGAACTAAAATTTACTATCTAAAACTTTCGGCCCGGAGATTGTCTGACTGATGTCTCGTGGTTTTCCTCTGTCATTCCAGTATCTTAAATTTGGCCACGACAGTTTTCCAAATCTTACAGCGAATCTTATTAAAGTCAAAATTTGGAATTCTGAGTTCTTCCTTTGAGAACTGTCAAATATTCTTGTAAGCTGTTCCTGTTGAAATAAAATGGCGGCGTGAAACAAATGCCTGCGGGCGTTCGCACTTCCACTGATGGATTTCGACCCTTGCGAGTTTTATGGCAATAATCGATCTATCGATTCGAGTGCAGTATTTAAACTATTATTAGTTTTGCTTCAATTTGTTTCAACAATTATATTAAACTAATATGTAAGCTTTAAATTTCAATATTTGATATTTATTTAGCAATTTTACTTCTCGTAGAATCAGAGACACGCGTTCGAAAACTGGTCTATCATTATCTGTTTCGGATTAGAGGCGAGACTGAAGATGGCTGTCTTCTGTTGTAGCTCCGTGTAGCAATTTAGAGGTTAAAAAACGAAAATCGCGAAGTTCCGAAAGAATTCTGGCAGAATTAACCCAAGCAATAGACAAAACATTGAATTGAGATCTATAAACTTCGTAGTTATATTTGGAAAATGAAAGCATTGCCCCAGCATTGGAAGAAATATATTATTTTTTGTACTTATAAAAAAAAGTTATAAAACAGACTAATGTGATATCAAATAATATCAGTCACGGACGTATTGAACATTCCTTCCTCGATTTTAACTCCGTCAGTGTAGATTTCAAAGTGACAGATCAACCACTCATCACATACTATGAATCTGTGAGATATTTAAGAAATAATCGTAGTATAATCGGCCATTTGCACGAAGATTTCAAAATGGCCTCCATTTCAGTTACCAGAAAAATACTGTACAGCATTTTTATTAATTTGGAACCATAAAAATTACAGGCTAATTAAAATATATTTAAATAAAGACTATAGTAAAAAAAATTGCGTAATAAAATTTCAGTTCGAAACGAAATAAGACTAGGAGAAAATTCATCACCACTTCACGTCATTGCTTTTGAAATGGTTTAAGAAAACCAGAATCCAAAGTGGACGTACCGGCTTCTGGCACAAATTTGTACCGTTAATAAAAATATGAGGTTGGTTGCACATTCATTATCGTCAGTAAACATATGGGAAATAAAAATTACTCTTATTTAATAAATCAAAGGCAGGTTGAGAGACCAAATTCAAGAAATTGGTTGCTAACATTTCGTAAAGAACCTTCTGTTTTCCCATCTGTAACCTAAAAATATAAAATTTTAAAAATGCAAAACTTGAAACTTAGCCGCTATTTTCACGAGCGTAAAAATTCGTTTCTCGTATTGAGGGAAGAATGTAAATTATTTTTGAGATGAAGGACGCTAAGGAGAATATTTGGATTAAGTTACGGTAACTCTTCAACAACCACTAGAATGAGATAAACGGAGTAATGATAAATGTTCATAATTTCGGCTCAAAAACATGAACAAGAAACATCACTTGGAAGATCTTGACATAAATTTGAGGATAATATTAAATGGTTCTGAAAAAAATAGGATGACAAGGAGTGGACTTAATTCATCTGCTCATCGGTTCTGTGTGGGGCGGGGGGTCCTGAATTTTTTGACTAGCTAAGTGACTATTAGCTTTTCGAAAGGAGGATACTACTCCATTGAGTCAGTCTTAGGTTATGTTTGATTACGTAACAAAAAAAAATTCTGCATCCTTGTAACTTTTAATCTACGAAAAATATTACGCGCGAGAAATGTAAGAATATTTATAACTATTGTCATACAACATTTAACATCACTGTCCCTAACAATTAATTATTTATTATCATCAGACTGAGAGCGATCTTTAACCTCAAAAGTTCATGCATCGCAGAGCTGCTGTTGTAACTGGTTCCTTTCTGAAAATAAAGATGGCCGACATGCAGAATCAGAAACTCGTACTTCTTCTAATAGCTTTTAAGAACGTTCTTTACCTTTGTAACGCGGGTCCTGTGTGCGCAGGCGCTCGTATTGTTCCGCGGTCATGCACGTGCACTGAGGCTCACGTGACCGACTTGGCGAGGCCGGGGTCGACAAGGGCTTCCGCTTCGGTTTCTTCTGTTGCTTGTTCGGTGGATCCAGCTTCAGCGAGTACGACGAGGACGCCTTTCGTGAGAATTTGAAAGATGGTGACTGGAACAAACCATTTTATTATAACTGAAAAACTTCCCTCCATAAGTTTAATTTAACAAAACACTGTCTTCCGTCTGTACACTCTACAACGAAAATCAAGCGACTGATATTTTTTTTAGTCCCAAACCGGAAGTGATGTACCACTGAAGTCATAATCGTCTACATTATTGTCTTAGGCGAAGATACTATAAGTTTCTAACATAACCACATCTCCAAATACAGATTTCAAGGCACTGTTATCAAATTCAAACTGTTTCAAATGCAGGAGTGGTTTATCTGAGCAAGACTCAGCCCTTACTCAGGTTTTTGTTAGGTTAGGTTCGTTCACTCATTGGGCAGGTAATGGCGGCCATGACCTGCTCTGAAAACTCAGTTGATATCTACCAGATCACGTGGTACAACACACGAGACAGCTGTCCTTGTACTTAACAGCTGTCAGATCTTGAATCTCACCCGTGAGAACTTTTATTCCAATTCTGACATACCCATACATATATATATGTTCCAGTTCCTTTTTTTATTATTTTTAAGGTGGCACCTAAATCTGTGGGAGCATTGTGCAGTCTCAAATACACGACTTCAACTTAAACAAGTCAGAAACAATGTTTTATTTTTTGATCGAGATATCTCGGTCACAGCACGGTGAATATTAACGTAAACTTCAATTTTAACTTTATTCTGTGTGGGTTTTATCTTAAAGCACGTCGCTGTGTAGCAGTCAGCATACTTACTTCTTACTCAGGAGATCACTCTGCAGATGGGGATCAGCTAACCTGTTTCAAATTAAATTTTGTGCTCAATAATTCTAGGCATAAACCAGTACTTACGCAACATTCCCTAAATTGTTTGGCATCTATTGGTGACGTGAAGTTGAGACCCCATGTATCATTGGTCATCGGGTCTTTCCAGTACACAAAGCATTCAGATGCTTGGCCAATACGCGTTCCTGTAACGAGAGTTACAGTCGGACACTTTAAAAGAGAAGTTTAAAATATGTTTCGATGTTTATTTGTGTGGCATAGCAATCGGCTTTTGCCGGTGGATAATTTAAGATAATGCTACTGTTTATTCTCAGATTACAACACACCATAATCAGAACACTTTAGACTTAACGAAAGCAACACGATTTCAGGGCGAACTGGGCCACCAAGAGATGACCTTGGTGAATGAATAAAGGTCTATAAATAGATTAAACATTGAAAAATAATCATTAAACAATGAAAAATTAATAACCAAACATTAAATGTGGAAACAAATGACGAACATAAAGGAGACGGCTGTGGACAATTTCTGAGCAACCAAACATTGCATGTGGAAACAAATGACGAACATCAAGGAGACGGCTGTGGACAATTTCTGAGGTCGGTACAAGCAGTAGGTAAATTTTCTAATAAATAAAGACGAGGTTGGATATCACTGTTTGTGCAGCCATTCAGAACTATTGAAGTTACTGACAACAGCAGTAGCACCAACACACTAAATTAACCTGCTGGCTCTTGTATTTTGATAATCACTACGTAATTTATAAGACACAAAGCATGGGAAAATAATTATGTTTGTTTATCACCTACCTTCGCTTGATGTCTAGTTGGCAGTAATATTTCTGAGGTCTCCACAATGATTCAGGTTAAGAGACTTTACCCCGTATCTTAAAACACCAAGTGAAATAACAGTCTGACTCTCCGATGAAAACAATCCAACAATCCATTCCTCAGTACGTATTACACTTGTTACAGCGTCAATTTATTACTTGCTTTACGAACTCGATCTTAACTTAACAATGGCGCCCATATAAACGTTCAGACACAACATGTTACCTGGCTGGACTAGTCGAACGTCGAGTATCTTGTCAACCTGGCTGTTGTAAGCTGTAATGTGAAACATGCACTCGGGCGAGTCCTGTATGCACGTGATGTTGACTGGGACGAGGTCCTCTGATACTTGTTGCCATTTCACTGTGCCTGCCCCACTCGCACTGACATGGAACACCTCGGCCCAAAGCCTGTACCAGACGAAACAAATCACGTCTACCACGCTAATAAAAAATTAATTCCCTATACTGAGCCAGCTGAATCGAGTTCACACCTTCAAAACACCTTTCTTAAAGATGATAATGTTGCGTCATATTGTGATGATTATAATTGTTTAATTTTAACCGTCTAATCACAATAAAATATTTTATTAAATATTAAAATATTATTATTACAATTAATTAAATTTATATTGATTACACACCTGAAGATGGTTCATTGAAAACCGAAACATGTCGTGAAAAAGATGATGCTCTAATTGTAAATCGAACATTTCGAAAGAAAGAGCATCATTTTAATATATTTTAAATATTTTAAATATTAAATGTTAATTGTAATAATAATATTTTAATATTTAATAAAATATTTTAGTGTGATTAGACGGTTAAAATTAAACAATCTTTCTTAAAATATATTTTTTAAACATTTAAGCCTATATCTCACACACATTATCTCTGACACTCATTTCAAATTGAATCTGGTGTGCTGGAAAAGCTTTCGTCACAGATCAGAGGAGGTTAGAGTGTGAAT